CCGGGCCGCGCACCCCCTCCTCGGGCCCAGCTCTGGCTCGGACTCTGGGTGGGTCTGGGTCTCCGGCCGACTTTCCGTGTCTGCTCCCGAGTCTCTGCGGGCCGCTCTGGCCCTGGGTCTGCCAGTCTCTGTGTGTCTGGGTCTCTCTGTCTCTGAGACTCTTTGCCTGTCTTTGGGTCTCTGCCCCACTTTCTCCGTCGCTGACCGGCTCCCTCGCCCCAGTTGTGACTGTGTGTGTGGTGGGGGTGTCTCTGCCTCTGCCCCTTCCTATCTTTGCCTCTCATTTCTCTTTCTGCCTCTGCGTCTCTGAGTCTTTGCCTGTCTCTCCCTGCGTGTCTCTCTCTCTCTCTCTGTGGAGTCTCTCGACCTCTTCTCTGTCGCTTACTCTCTGTCTCTTTATCCTTTTTCTTTGGGGCTCCTTTGCGTCCCTGCTCGGCCCTTGGGACAGCCGTGGGCCCCGGTTTGTTTTGTGCTTTGGCACGCAGGAGGGCGAGAGAGTTAGTGGGGACGAGGCAGCTGTAGGGGGTGCGGCTGGGAAATCCCTTCAAGGAGCCTCTCCTTCCTTCCCCCACTGCTCCAGGCTCTGCCTTGCCCTGCTCTCCCCTGCCCTGCCCGGGGCCCCGAGTCCAGGGGACATGCCTGGCTGTGTACTACACTGCCCTTCACATCGTGGGGCCTCAGTTTCCCTAACTGTGAAATGAGGCTACTTTTCTCCTTACTGTGGGCCCTGGCTCGCTCTGCCACATGGGCCAGCTGTCCTGCTGCCCCGCACCAAGGTGGAGTGAAGTGGAGGCTTTTCCTTCCTTTCCCCAAGTGGGACACTAGGGGCCGGGGAAAGGGGCCGCCTCAGCCCCCGCCTCCCTATGCACTGATGTTAGAGCAGGGCCTCAGCCTGCTCCTGGCTCACTCCTCTGGGGGCGTTGGTTTTGTCCTCATTCTTACCCCAGAGCCCACGGATCGCAGAGCCTCTCAGTGCTCTTCGAAATTAGAGTTATCTTCAAAATACAGGTGAGAAAATTGAGGTTCTGAGAGAGGTGACGGCTTGCCCAGAGTCAGAGTGAGCTGCACCAATATCTTTCTCGAGTTCCTGTGTCAGTGGGGTTGGATTTTAGCCTTGAGGGGCAGGGATTTTTCCAAGGGGCTGCTGTGGTCCTGGGCCAGTGTTGTGCCAGGTGCCCTGGGCTGCCTTGAGGAGACCCTTGTCTTGGAGGAGGCTCTGGGACGGTTGGACCTGGAGTAGCAGAGGCACTGGGATGTCTCAGGGTTTCCCTGCCTAGGTCTGCAGCGGTTGCCGGTGAGAGCTGCCAGGACCTTCACAGGGTGGCTGAGAACCTGCCAGGAACCTGAGAGGGGGCCCAGAGGGGATGCTGGTGCTCCGTGGTCCCCAGATGGTGCCTGTTTTCTGTGCTGGGGAGGCTATGAGAGTTAGGTGAGAGGAGAATGGCCCTTCAGGGAAAGGCAGCAACAGGCTCAGGGCTAAATGTCACTTTTTTTTTGAAACGGGGTCTCACTCTCACCCAGGCTGAAGTGCAGTGGCACAGTCATAGCCCACTGCAGCCTCAACCTCCCTGGCTCAGGTGATCCTCCCACCTCAGCCTCCTGAGTAGCTGGGACTACAGGCTCATGTCACCATGCCCGGCTAGTTTTTGTATTTTTTGTAGAGGTGCGGTTTTACCATGTTGCCGAGGCTGGTCTGGAACTCCTGGGCTCAAGCTATCTATCCATGTTGGCTTCCCAAAGTGCTGGGATTACAGGCATGAGCTACCATGCCTGGCCTAAATGTCATTTCTTCAGCCAGTAAATTGGGATGTGCAGTGGGGACTGGAGACAGGTGGGAATGAAGCTCAGCCCACTCTGTCTAGCCTTGGGGTGGTGGGAAGTAAGGGCCCTCCACTGAGGATGAAGTGTGGCAGCAGTGGTGGAAAGTGGGGTGGTCTTGGGGAAGGGACTTAGTCACCTAAGTGGGTCATAGGGGATCGCTAGGGAATAGGCCCCTGATTCCTGAATTTAGGGAGTGGGAGACAGGTCAGGAGTGAGCAGGGACTTCGGACTCCGAGTCTTGGGTTCAAATCCCAGTCCAGCCCACATGTCGCCTGTGGAGTGTGCCTTCTCTGTTAATACTGAGCCCCACTGTGTGTGAGGTCTCCAAGGTTCTGGGGACAACAGTAGTTATCAAAAAGGACAAATATGTCTTAACTCAGGCGGCTGATATGCTAATGCAGGAGACAGTGAAAAGCCAAAACAAAAAAATAGAATAGACGGTGGTTGGGATGTTAGCCAGTGCTGTGGATCAAATAAAGCAGGGCGAGGGGGAGGGAGGTGTGGCCAGGGCGGCTGCTGCAGCCAGGGTGGCTTAGGGAGGCTTCTCTGAGGAGATGACTCCTGAGCGACAGGAAGTGCTGGAGGAAGTGCATGCCAGGCAGAGGGGCAGTAGGTACAAAGGCCCTGAGGCACAAGCCTCCCTTAGCTGGGAACCCCAGGAGGATCCTGAGCAGGGGAGGGACGAGGATCTGGCTGTGGCTTTCATAGGATCCCTCTGGCTTCTGTGTGGGAACAGACTGTAGTGAGCACCAATCCAGGTGAGTGACAGTGGGGCCTGGAGCAGGGAGGGGGGTGACTTCTGTGTGTTTTGAAACTGAGTTGATGGGGCTCAGAAATGGGCTGGGCGTGGGGTATGAGGGAAGCAGATGGTGGACAGTGCATGCAACCTCCTTTCCTCTTCTGTAAAGAGGGAAGGCTGTGGGGATTTGTGATGCGATGTCGCGTCTGTGGATCCTGGTTGTAGCAAGGGACTGGCTAGACAAGGTCAGGTGCAGCAAGGGTGTGGCATTGTTGGTGGGAGAGAGAAGCCCCAGCCAAATGGCCAACTCTGTCCTTAGTTGGCCTTACTGTCACCAGGGCCCTTATGAAAGACTGAGGCTTGGAGAGTACTGTGACTTGCCCAAGGCCAGACAGCTAGGCCATGACCGAACCAGCTGCCCAGAGGGCTCAGTCCCCACCTGGATGGGCGGAGACAGGCAGGGAGGGAGGTTGGGGTTACAGGCTGGGAACTGGGGTTTCTTACAAATGTGCATCTTCCTGAGGCAGTGGGTCAGGAATTACCAGTGGTAAAAGTAAAAAATAAATAAATAACAACAACAAAATAAAAGGAGTTGCCATTGGCCCACATGGGTGTCCTGTACTGGTGTTCAGGATGGGGCTGGAGCTCAGCTGTGCAGGCTTCCCAGGGAGGGCACAGCCAGGCCAAAGACAGGAAACCGGTACAGAAGGGCCTGCACTGTGAAAGGGGCAGGGGAGCAGGTGGGAAGCTGTCCATCGACACTCCGGGCACACAAACCCTCTTAACACCACCTCTGCCGCTGATGGGCGTGGGAGTCATGCTGCCTAGCTGTTGGCAGGTGGGGAGGCGGGAAGATGCCTTCAGGGTCCAGGCAGAAAGCTGCCCCTCTCTGGGCCTCCATCTCCCTCTGTCTGGGAGGAGTCAAAAGCCTCTGCCTAGCTGATCCTGGGTGTTGTCCCTTGACCTCTGACCTCCACTCAGGCCTGTGTTTGGGGAGTGTCATGGACATCATGTGGGACTCCTCAAGCTTTAGTCTGTGCCTCTAAGAATGGGGTGCGGAGCCCTTCACGGAGCAAGTGGGGCCTCGTCAGTGCCTGCATCTCTGTGAGCCTTGCTTCACCTGTTTGTTGCTGGAGCCTCCATGCAGTGGGGTCCACATGAGCCCGTGTGCATTGAGGGGCACGGGGGCGTGGCGAGGGGCGGGCCTCTGTGGGCCATGCGCGCAGTAGCGTCATGATGGAGCCCAGGGGTTTAGCCACCTCCCCACCAACTGGAGGCATGATAACCCATTTCACAGTTGAGGGTGCTGAGGCGCAGAGCAAGTAGACCTGCCTCCTACCCGCAGTGTGTCAGCTGCAGACCCTGGAGGCTGCCTTGGGGTGGGCCTCAGGGTGGGCCACGGCAGAGGTGCCTGGGAGTGCTTACCCCCAGCAGCGTTCCCCTCCTCACAGACGGTGGAGCATGGCTTTCCCAATCAGCCCAGCGCCCTGGCCTTCGACCCTGAACTTCGCATCATGGCCATTGGCACCAGGTCTGGGGCTGTCAAGATGTATCCTTTGCAGGCTGGGTGTTCAGGTCTGTTCCGGACCACCTGCTTGTAGTTCCTGTGTTCTGGGGTCCCGGTCTTGGCAGCGTCCAGCTCGAGAGTAGAACAGAGGTGCTCTGCTGGGCAGTAGTGGGGTCTTCTGTGGGCGCTACAGTAAGTGCTGGGATCTTGGTGGAGGTTGGTGTGGTTTCTGTACCTGAGACGACTGTGCAGAGATGATGGGGTCCTTTTGCTGAGAGACGAGTGGTCAGTTTGCAGTAGCACAGCTGTCCCTTGCTACGTGTCAGCCAGCCAGTTACCTAGGTGACCCTGCCATCGTCCCAGCAACTCTGGGGAGGCCAGGCAGGGGGGCTGGGCTGTGATACCCGTGGAGGATGGCAGGTGGGCTGGGGCCCTGGTGAGCCAATGCACACACGTGTGAATGTGAAGACACATGTGTTCAGCCAAGGGGGCTGGGGGCAGTGCCAGGCTCGGCATGGTGAGTGCAGCACGGCCCCCACCTGGATCCTGGCTGCTGCACAATGGGCTGTGTGAGCCACACAAAGCGGGCATTTTCCCTGCAGGCCCGGGGTGGGGGTGGGGGGCAGGCCGGCAGCTCAGTGTCTCTGTGCCGGCCCTGGAGAACCCCACCCCAACTGCTCTTGGGGAAGCCGAGGTGCCAGGGTCTGGCCGATGGCGACTTGGTGAGGGGTGCTGACCCCTACCCCTCCTGTGTGGCCCTCTGAGTTTCAGTATCCTGGTTTCGGACATCAGTTCCCAGAAAATGTGTCAATGCCGGGAAAGGGGAGGGTGTGGGATGGGGGTCTTCTCACCCCAGGGGTGGGAGTCTGAGCCTGTGGTTTGTGAGCTCTTTGCCTACTCTGGGGAGTGTGGATGGTCTGAGATGTCCCCTTCTCTCTCATGGCCCTAGCAGCACCTGTGGGTGAGTAGGGCAGTACACTGGGCCCGACATGCCCCACTGCCTGGCCTGCTGCTCCCACTCCTGTGGGTGCTGCGCTGCCATCTGCACATGTATCCCTGCGGCCTTCAGGTGTCCCTCCTGTGTTGGGGTCTCCTGTGCTCTTGTCCTCAGGCTCAAAAAGAACCTGAAGTACAGATGAGGAGACTGAGCCTCAGAAAGGAGGCTGGAGCCCGGGGTCCTCTTCCCTTCTTCCCCTGACCACCACTGCCTGGAGCCCCTCGGGTTGGGAAACTGAGGCTGGAGAGGGCCAGCCCTGGTCACTAGAAGCTGCCCCTCCCCCTGCCAGACCGGCCCCATCTCCTTGACGACCCTGGTTCCCGCCCAGCTGCTCCTGTCCCCTCTTTTGTCCCTTCTTCAGAGTTTCTCGCCAGGCTCCTGTAGGGAATCCCAGCTCAAGCTCCAGGCAACGGCTCCTGTGTTGTCACCAGGGCAACGTTGCTGACTCCTCCCTGCACCCTCTGTCCTGGGGCCCTTTCAGGTCCTGCTGTCCACCATCAGCCCTGGAGTTGCCGGGACTGAGGCACTGACACTGGGCACTTCAAGCAGGTCACCCACGCCCTCCGAGTCTCTGTGTGCTCATCTGTTAAATGGGCAGGCTGGGGTCTCTCCTCCCTCAAGGTGGCAGTTGTTGGCTGCCTGCCTTGGAGGGAGGTGGGTTTTCTTTTTTGTTGTTGTGTTTTTGAGACAGAGTCTCACTCTTTGTCGCCCAGGCTGGAGTGCAGTGGCACAATTTCGGCTCACTGCAGCCTTTGCCTCCTGGAGTCAAGCAATTCTCTGCCGCAGCCTCCCAAATAGCTGGGATTACAGGCGCCTGCCAGCATGCCCGGCTAATTTTTGCATTTTTAATAGAGATGAGGTTTCACCATCTTGGCCAGGCTGGTCCTCAACTCCTGACCTTGTGATCCACCCGCCTCGGCCTCCCAGAGTGCTGGGATTACAGGAGTGAGCCACTGCGCCCAGCGGAGGTGGGTTTTCTTACCCATGGCTGAAGTTTGGCCTGAAGCTATGGGAAAAGGCAGTCTGGACTCTCTTGCTCCCTGGCTTTCTTGTCCGGGCCTTGCACCTCTGGCCTGCCTGATCCCATCTGGCAAGGCGCAGCTCCCAGAGCCCATAGAAACGTGGGGCTGAAGTGGAGCGGAGCCCCAGCCTCTCACCAGGCTGAGGCCGAGCCTGCTGGGTGTGTTTATTCTCACTGGATCTGCAACAGCCCTGTAAGGTGGGCGTCACTGGCCCAGTTTACAGGAACTGAAGGTCCTATAGCAGCACCCAACTTGCAGGAGTGAGTGGAGCCTGCACGCTGATCTTGGGGATACTGTAGGGGTGCAGGGTGGGAGCTTTAGGGAGGGGGCCTCCGTTCTTCAGGGAGGCCTCCTGGATGGGCAGGCCCATGCCGGGGTCCACTGGAATACTCCGGGTTAAGGAAGAGCCTTGGGTATCTCACTCGCCGTGGTTTGCTGGTCCATGCCTGTTTCCACCTTGACCTGCCATCCTCAGCTATGGTGCACCTGGCGTGGAGTTCACAGGCCTGCACCGGGATGCAGCCACCGTCACACAGATGCACTTCTTGCCCGGCCAGGTGAGCCTCTGCTTCCCACTGGCCAGCTCCCTGTGGCCCCCATATCTACTCACCCCCCTAGGCCAGCCTAGTTTTCATCTCTGCTCACACACCAGGGCCGCCTCCTGACCCTGCTTGATGACAGCAGCCTGCATCTCTGGGAGATTGTCCACCATAATGGCTGTGCCCACCTGGAAGAGGCACTCAGCTTCCAGCTGCCCAGCCGGCCCGGCTTTGATGGTGCCAGGTACTAGAGAACTTGGCTGGGGCCAGCCACTGGGCAGGGAGGATCTGGGGGAGTGTGGGAACCTGCTGTGCAAAGGCAGCATGGAGACAGGCAGCTGCCAGTGGGGGCTGTGGTTCAGAGCAGGATGCCTTGAGCTGGGCCTAGGTCCCAGGCTGCGACTCTTGGACCCTGCTTTACTGAGGTATACTCTGTGAACTTTTCAGGTTAAATGGGAGGTTTGGGTTGAGTCCAACATGAGCAGGTAATTAGCATTGTGAGCAACAGGAGGTACATGCATTATATGCCAAAATCCTAGGACCTGAGGCCTGGCACTACACTTACTGCAATGATGGGGGTGTCTAGGGGTTTGGGGCAGGGCCTAAGCCAGTTAGTAATAGCGAGGGTTCCCTGGCCCCTTCAGTTGTGGGTGGGAGACAGGCCTTTCTGTGCACAGGTGAAAGGGCAGGGTTGAGGGCAAGGAGGGTCCCACGGGCTGTGCTTGGTAAGGTGCTGGCAGCATGCGCCAGCTGGGTGAGAGTATGGGGAGTCTCTCCCCCCAGCCCTGCCTGAAATAGCTGGAAAAGGGGAGTCCTAACCCAGGGATGGATTCCTGATGCCTCCCAGCTTCTGCAGATGAGGGTATCTGGGGCCCTCCTGTGAAGTCAGGAGATGTCTGAGGGCTGGCAGCAGGATTCCTAGGAGGGGCTCAGCGGGGAGAGCCCTGGTCCTGGCTTGGGCAATGCCGTGGTTCCTGCTGTCCTCTCCTGGTGGGTGGGAGGAGCTGGGAGCCCAGTCTGCAAGACCTGGGGAACCTATTTTTATCTGTCTCCCTGCTGACATCCTTATGAATAATTGAGCGGGCTGATTATGACGCATGTCTTCCTGGGGTGGCTCTGTAAGTAGGCCCTAGTGAGCGCTGTGGGGCCAGTGATGAGTTATCAGCAGTGGCCCAGCTCCTCACACCCCACCTCCCCAGGTGGATGGGCTTGCACCCTCACTCCCTTTCCCTTGTTCCCTGCAGCGCTCCGCTCAGCCTTATCCGAGTCACAGTGGTCCTGCTGGTGGCTGCCGGCAACATAGCAGCCCTGGGCACTGAGGGCAGCAGTGTCTTCTTCCTGGATGTTACCACCCTGACCCTGCTCGAGGGGCAGACGCTTGCCCCAGGCGAGGTTCTGCGCAGGTGAGAGGCCGGTGGGCTTCCCAGCACACACTGTGTGCCCAGGAGGTTCTACTGGCTCACCTGCCTTCCTCCACAGCGTGCCAGATGACTACCGCTGTGGGAAGGCGCTGGGCCCCGTGGAGTCACTCCAGGGACACCTGCAGGACCCCACGAAGATTCTCATTGGCTACAGCCGGGGCCTGCTGGTCATCTGGAACCAGGCCTCGCAGTGTGTGGACCACGTCTTCCTGGGGAACCAGGTATGTGGATGAGGCCTGTGTCCCCTCAGCCTGGGCCCCTAGTGCGTGCCCACCATGGCTCATGCCTGCCTGCCTGCCCCTGCCTGCCCACAGCAGCTGGAGAGCCTATGCTGGGGGCGTGATAGCAGCACTGTGGTCAGCTCACACAGTGATGGCAGCTACGCTGTCTGGTCTGTGGATGCCGGCAGCTCCCCAACGCTGCAGCCCACGGTAGCCACCACACCTTACGGTGAGTGCTGGGGAGGCCTTAGCCAGAGGGTGGTGATGGGAGGGGGCACCACTGAGCCAAGCCAAACTGGCTGAGGAGTGACTCCCCCGAGGGGGTGGTCTGGTGGCAGTGTGCCTCCCGCCGACTTCCTGGGGAGGCAGGAGGCAGCTGCAAGGTAGAGAGCAGTGGAGGGCAGAGCAGGAATGGCAGAATTGCTAAGAACCACCAGCGAGTCTGGTCTGACGCTGTCCCACCCCTCAGGCCCCTTTCCCTGCAAGGCCATTAACAAGATTCTGTGGCGGACCTGTGAGTCTGGGTAGGTCCGGGGAGCGGGTGTCTGACGTGAGCCGGGTCTGGCTAGGGGGCTGGAAGGGTGGGCTCTTCCTGGGTTGTGCAGTATGTGCTCGGGACCCAAGTGGTCCATGGCTCACACAACTCTCTGCACACAGGGGCCACTTTATCATCTTCAGTGGTGGCATGCCCCGTGCCAGCTATGGTGACCGCCACTGTGTAAGTGTGCTTCGAGCCGAGACATTGGTGACGCTGGACTTCACCTCCCGCATCATCGACTTCTTCACAGTGCACAGCACGCGGCCTGGGGATGGTGTGTGCCCTGCCGTACCCTACCCTTTCCCAGCCCCACCTGGCGCCCTCTGCCACCTATGACTGTGCTCACCCCATACCCGCTCCATCCAACAGAATTTGATGACCCCCAGGCCCTGGCTGTGCTGCTGGAAGAGGAGCTGGTGGTGCTGGACCTGCAGACTCCTGGCTGGCCAGCTGTGCCTGCCCCATACCTGGCCCCGCTGCACTCATCTGCAATCACTTGCTCGGCCCACGTGGCCAATGTGCCCGCCAAGCTGTGGGCCCGCATTGTGAGCGCTGGCGAGCAGCAGAGCCCCCAGCCTGTCTCCAGTGCCTTGGTGTGTGCGGGGATCGGGGGGGGTCTTACAGGGTGGGGTCTTGAGGAGGGGGAGAGTGTTTCACTTCTAAGCCTGGAGGTCAGAATGTGCCATGCTCGGGATGAAAGGGAGAAGATGTTTGTCCTAACCTTGTGCACACATCTCTGCCACCCCCTCCCAGAGCTGGCCCATCACTGGGGGCCGAAACCTGGCCCAGGAGCCATCGCAGCGAGGGTTGCTGCTGACCGGGTAGGTGTGCGTGCTTATGTGGGTGAGTGGGCTCCTTGCTGTTGGGGGAGAACCCATCCTGGGCCTGGTGGGTGCAGAGGTGCCAGGAGACTCAGGCCTGGCCCCTGGTGGGACCAGGTAGTTCCTCCTCGCCCAAGGTGGATTGGAATGAAACCTCTCTGGACCTTGGTTCAAGGTGCTGCCCTGATCTGCCTTTTGGCCTGGAACTGAGCTCTACCAAACCCCAGGGCTCCACCCGCCCAGCCTGCCTGCCCTGGGACTGGAAAATCTGGGCTGGCCCACGCTGAACTGCCCAGGGAAGGTGCCAGAGAGCCCAGCCTGGGCCTGGCGGGCGCTGACGTGCCCGGTGACTCAGGCCTTAACTTCCTGCCCTGCCCCCACTCCCGCCTGTGCTGGGACCCTCAGGCCTCTGACTCCAGTGTGCCCTTCCCTGCTGAAGAGCTTGCTGTGGCTTTCAGGGCTGCCGGAGTGAGTCTTAACCACCCCACAGTCACACACCTCTCACAACCACCCCACAGTCACACACAACCACCCCACAGTCACACACCTCACACCCACCCCACATCACACACCTCTCACAACCACCCCACATCACACAC